TGATGCGATTTCTCCTCTCTGTGATTATTTGTCCTGTTTTTGAGAAGACTCTCTGAGGGGACCCGATGTTGCAACAATGCAGCGTCTTCCTACCTTAACCAACGCACTTGTGTTTAAAGGGGTCATATGATGCAATTTAAATTTTTCCTTTCTCTTTGAAGTGTTACAAGCTCTTGGTGCATAAAGAAGATCTGTAAAGTTGCAAAGACTAAAGTCTCAAATCCAAAGAGATATTCTTTATAAAAGTTAAGAGTCAACCACACCTACCTAAAACGGCTCGTTCTAACACGCCCCCACATATCCACGTCACTATGTGGGAAGATTTGCATAACGCCGCCCAAATGTTCACGCAAAGAAAGAAGGTGCAACTTTTATTCTCACTGTAGTATTGTTGCCGCTGCCGCCATGTCGAGACGCTGTGTTTCGTTGTGAAAGCGAAACTACTTTGCTTGGCCTTCCAAAAGAGAACGAAATCAGCTTCGTCGTGCCTGGAGCTGATCCGTGCTGGTCGCTGAGGAAATACATCAACTTCACGCTGTCGATCACTGGATCGGCTTTCACCGTGGATGTTCAGAACAGTTCAACCCAAATATTCAGATGTGTGCAGCGCATTTTATGGAGGACTGTTTCCTGATCCTGGAAGAGTAGACTACAATGCCGGCTGTTCTGACTCACAGACTGTAAGTACGTTTTCATTTAAAGGATTTGCCACTGACGATTCAAACGCGAGTTTTGAGGAGTGTAGAGTAGCGCTTGTTGTTCGTCATTTCTCCGATCACAAATGCAGACTTGGTTTTATGTTTACGCGGCGCGATGCAACGCAACATGTAAAAAGACAGTATAAGGGGCCATTCACATATCGCGCCTAAAACGCGTGGAAAACGCTAGGCGCGCCGCTTTCTGCTTTTCCCCCAAAGCGTTCGGGCGCTTGCGCTCCAGAGGCGTCTGCCATTGCTAAGCAACCATGACCTGCGCACTTCATGAAGATGCGGACGTTTCAGCAAAGGATAAATGGATTTGCAGCACTAAAAATCACTTGCAGTAGCTCTGCTACTAAATTTATTTAAAAATGGCTATCCCTGTACACCTATGATCAGCTGTTCCTTCATCTTGACTGAGCTTTCAATGTTGTTACGGGAAAGGATGAAGCTGATTGGTTGGTTCTTGTCACATGACTTGCGGCATTCTGAAAAGTTGAAATGTTTTTATCTCGATGCCGCACGGACGCTCCTGGAAAAAATTAGCGTGTCGCTTCCATTATGAGAGCGCCTGCCGCACGTCTACATTTGAAATAACGAACTTGAGCGTGCAAAAAACGCGATATGTGAATGGCCCCTAAGTCATTATAATCCGTAATTATGTCCCCACTGGATGCAACAAATGCTTAGTTTATAATGGGTTTTCATGTTTTTGAATCGTCGCTCCGGCCTGACAGGGCATCACAGCAACATTTCCGTCACACGCTTGAGGCATTCGGCCAATCACAACGCACTGGATAGCTGGCCAATCAGAGCACACCTCACTTTTCAGGCCGATGAGTTTTGTAAAAATCAACGCGTTTCAGAAAGGCGGGGCATAGAGGAGAAACAATAATGTACAGTATGTGGAAAATAATGTGTTTTTTTAACCTTAAACCACATAAACACATTTCATTACACCAAATACACAAAATAATGTTTTTTTAGCAACATCATATGACCCCTTTAAATCCGGATCCCCCGCCTCTCTCTGTCGCTCTGTGTACCTGGCCTTTACCACTATACTTGCTATCTTCGGAGCGTGTGTCCCCCTTCCTTCTTTCACATAATGGTATAATCCTAGTCTGTCCTCCAATGTGATTAGCCTCATGTGTATTTTTAAATTTTTTTTGTAATGAAATTTTTTTTTAAAATAAGGCTTTTATGAAAACACTGAATAAAATATTGCTTACCAACACACAAACCATTCACAATTGCTAAATTGGGCTAAAATAGAAGGCTCCGGCTGAAGATTCGGCTCTCCCTGACGGGAGTCAGCTCTTCTCGTTCGCTACAAAGAACATGACTAGTTCAACCACTCGGTGTCAATCCTACATACAGCACCTTTAATGAATGTGAAATGAATGAATTAATGAAAAGTTATTTATAACACACTGAATGTGGGTCTTAATAACACTGGCAAGAAATAATTACAAGTCATTCTGGCCTTCGAAAACAGTTTGACTGTTCTTACCTGAGATTTGAGCACAAAGATACCGTGTTTCTAATTGAGGTTAAGGTGGAATCCGTCAGGCCCGCATGCCACATGCTGCAAAGCATCACCATTAATAGGAAATCGACATAACATGCTGTTTATTTGCAACAGGAACACTCATAAACATACATACAACACACACACACACTCAAAGGCTTACTATAAGCACTGCAGGTTACTGAGGGACGACAATATCCTGCTCAACACCTGAAGCACCACCTCATCCACCCTCCATCCTAAAAAATAACAAATCATTTTGATATTAAACATTTCAGGAGTGTGAACAGCTACATCTTATTGTTTACAAAGAAGTCTTACCAGTTATTTTGACTTCCTTTACGCTGCCGTGGTCTTCATTCTCCAGCTCTAGCTGGAGGCAAGGCTTAGAGGACCATGTTGTCATTTGACTCTCTAAAGATGTCTGAAATTGATTGTCCTCTTCAGTCCGAGTTGGTGGTTTTATTATGAAAAAATTACGAGTTTTTTAATATGGGAGACAAATAAATAGCATTAAGTATAACATATCATCCTTTAGTAGAGTAGACAACAATATATGTTTTATGTACAACACTATTTACCCATAACTCCTCTATTTGTAGATGTTGACTGCTTTATCTTCACAGAAGGGATCTCTTTCACACCCATGAGTTTGCACAGCTCTGTGAAGTCCAGCTCCACATCTAGTGTGAGCGATACAAAAACACACCGACATTGCCTTTATGTGCTCTAGGGACTAGCACACAGCATTTGAACTCCAACAAACAGCATATCTTCGGACATGGCATATATTTTGGTTATTTAAAGATCACGTGAAGTCAAAATCTAGTCAGTCTATCTGTCTTTACAGTCACATACCTGCAGTTTTAGGTGGTTCTTCGTCGGTCACAGAATCCAGCTTGTCCACTTTCTCCTTGGAGGATTTTTCAACTCGTTTTTTCATCTTTTAAGCGGAAAACTAACCAGCAGTTGGTTAAACCTAAAACCAAACTAAATGATTAATAATTATAATAAACTCACAGTTGAGCAACTTTTATTCAGCTTCTTGCTCGCTCAGGTTGTATTCCGTTGCCATGCCAACAGCTGGCGCCTCACTTGAAATATGACACCTCGCGGATGGCGGCAAAAAGAAAACTCTGAAAATGCACCGTTCTTGTAGATAAAACCTTACAAAAATGACCACAGTAATTTTTCTTGCCTCTATTAAATACAATAAAAATAAGGTATCCGATAACTAATAAAAAAGGACAAATTTACTTAAATTCATACATTAATAAACTGAAAAAGCAGGGTAATTTAAAAACTAATTTTTTTTTTTTTTAGCTCCACAGAAAATGAAATAAAATACATTTGCATATCATACATGTATTTAACTGCAGGAACTATTTTTCTGGAGGTGTAATATGACCAAGTGAGAAGATGCAAGATGAATTAAGAGTAACTTGCTTTAATAAATGCTTTCACAAATATCGAAAGGTGCTGATGAAAAGAGATTCATTTTTCAAATTAATATAATTCTTCTGTCAGGACATAATGGTAATATTTCTTAAATGTAATATACTATAATCTTTATGAAGTCGGAGTCAAAGTTTTGATCAAATTAAGACACACATAGCATTTTAGTGATCATCCTGGATTAATTTTGATATAATTTTAATAACGAATGGCAGATAAATGCCTCAAGAATTAATAGATGCATCAGTATATGTGAAAACATCAGTTAGCATTAATTGGAGTTCAAATGATGGTACACAATGTCAATGTGCTACGCAATAGTTAAAATTCACTTTATTTGAAGATGTAATGACTGTCCATACAGTTAAAATACGATTTGTCTGTATACCTGGAGTAATAATGGTTATGACCTAATAAAGAACTGTATCACAGATTCTCTGCTAAATGTATGAGCAACAGGCAAGTATATTCACAATAATGTAGTGCTTTTTATTAAAAAAACAAACAAACAAACAAACAAAACAAATAGAATATAAAACAAAAAAAAAGTAAAAACCAACAGCATTTTTCATGACTTTATAATTACAAACTTTGAACCAGAGTGGAAGTAGTTTTGACAAACTGTACACAACATCACAAAATGCCTGCCAGTCTGTCCATATACAATGCTTGCATCTTATTTTGTGATTGTCTAAAAAAAATAACTAAACAAATCACACAAAAACACACAAATACAAGCATTATATTTATGACCGCTATCACAAAAAAAAAAGAACAATCTTTTCTCATTTGAAGAACAAAAAATTAAAAAGGAGATTAAGAACATGATATTGGGTCGACAGCTTATTTTTTCTGCCAAAATATCATTTTACATTTTTATGTTGGTTTGTTTTTTTAGTGTTCAACACTTTGCAGCAAAAAACGAGGAACATTATATCTTTTTCTCCTCAAAAAAGTAATAATAATAATAATTAGAATAATGTTAATATTAATTATTACGGTGACGGGTGCCAGGTGAGGGGTCACTGCCACTGCGACGTCCCCTTCCAAATATGACATTACATGATACAATAAGTTCTTGTGAATTCATGAATTTAACCGTTTATTAACTGCTGTCAAGCCCTTAGTTGTTTCCTCTTTCGTATTATTAGAATGGGCTCGCACACACACGCTCACAAACACCGTAAAGAATCTCACACACTACCATAAACAAAAAAAACGGCATTCTAAGGCGTTATATAAAGCCAGCGTGCCTCCACTGCTAGATTTTGTTTGTTTTTTTTGTATTTACGTTGAGCTGGTGAATTACACACTTAAAAAAAAATAATAAAGGGGGCGGGGCTGGCAGCCATTCTAACCAATCGCAATGCCCACGATAACAGGAGCGAAACATTCAAGCCCAGTCCCGAAGTCCCGAGCTTACAAATATGGATACCCCCATCGTGCGCCATTCCTAATGTAATTACAGTATAACAAATAAAAAAACAAACAGAAAAAGAAGGTAACATACTTATGTTTTGCTTTATCATACAGCATTGATCAATACTGCGCGAGTGTTAGTGTGTCTTATCCGTACATCTCCGGAAGCGAATTATGTCCTTGTTGTTAAAAGTGCAGTTAGCTCTCGCCTTTCTCTCTTTTTCTCAGTCTACGGGCAGTGTGTGTGTGCGCTACACTGCACCTCCTATGATGCTCCTATTTATTTTTCTTTCTTGGTTGCACTCAAGTCATTCCCAATGTCGACCACAAAGTAGCGCCAGACTCCCAAGTTTCCATTTGCACCCGAAATGAAGGCCAAATATAGTACCACACAGTCATAGGAGATATTTGACCAGTGAAGTAAGTTCATCTGCAACAATTCGGATAGAATTTCAAAGCAAACTTTCCTATGTCTGACACTTGTTCTTTTTAAATGCATCAAGCTTGACGGCTATGTCCTCAGTGCACGAAACTCTGGTCGGTCTCTCTTGTAGCTCCTTTAGAAAAAGAAACTGCGAGATATAAATCTGAACTTGTCGCCTTTCACCTCTGTTGACCCCCTCGTTTTCAGGTGTAGTCCACCTCTGCTCCTCCATATTCATTATTCTCTTGCTGCTCTGCAAGCGTGCTCGGCAGAGAGTGTAGTCAGCATTACTTCCTGCAAATAAATTCGCTCAGTCCAAGCGTCCGTCTGCGGAGGCGGCGACCAGAGCCTTCCTCCAGAAGATACGTCACATCTATCGCTGTACGGGAGACATAACGGGAGAATTAGTTTTCATCATAGAAGAGGTTACAGTAGATCTGTAGCAGTGTGGGGCAAAATGAGCAGATTATGAATACACATGGTGTTTAAAAGGTTTTTAAACATAGTTTTTTTTATGTATATAAAACAAGGCTTCTGTGAATCAGTTCTTAAGAATTTTTTTTTTCAATTATTCAGAATAAAATAGGGCATATTAAATAATGACAATAAGCAATAACATTATATATTAATAATAATAAATAATATTATTACTATTTCCCAACTAAAACTGTAAAAATATGAATACAAAAATACATTATTGACTTAAATTAACATTTATGGCTGAATCTCAGAATAAGGTCAAGGATAAACAAAATTATAAAAGATAAAATATATTTTGAAGTAAAATGTAACAGTTATATTATATTTTAGAACACAAAGTAATAATAATATGAATAGTATTAATTATTAATAGAAATAAAATCATTTCCAATCAAACTGTAAAATATAAATACTGTAAATTATAGACAATTAATGACATTTATCTAACAGAAAATGTCTAGGTCAAATTTCACTAAATAAACAAACAAACAAAACATTTTTCATGAAATATCCATATCAAATCTAAACAAAAACCACAACAATATATATTTAGTTGTATAGTAAAATATAGTTTAACTTTAAAACACAAAATAATATCATATGAATCATTAATTTTAATATGAATAATATCATTATGAACATCTATGTAATGTCATTAATATAAATAGTGTAAAACTGTAAAATATGAATAAAATAACAAATGATTGACCACATTCACACTTTTGGGTGAATCTCACAGAAAGAAATGCCCAGGCCAAATTTGACCCCTACAAAATCTGAATTTTTTTTTTTTTTTTTTAAATCTGTGATATAAATGTAATATAGTTTGCATAAATATTCAGCAAATTATTTGAAAAACGTTCAGTAAAGTCGTAAAATAAATCCTCTCTCCTTTCAAAAGAGCATTCAGCATTTGTGTTTGGAGGAACAAAAATGAAGAAATGTAATTTATGGTACTGAATGACAAAAATTAAGCCAACAATAAAGAGGCTTTTACAATTATTAGCATATTGGGGATACCACTGAAAAAAAATTAAAACGTGGGATTACAGGAATAAATTAGATTGGAAGGAATGTAATGTAACTAAAGCCTTTTGGATAAATAAATATTTCGTCTCTTACCATTCTTGCTGGGCGCCCGGTGCAGCAGGTCGAGCAGAATCTTGTTCAGTCTCACTCTCTGTGCTTCCCTTCTTCCCAGGATGGATGGATGAAGAAGTGAAGAGGAGAGTGAGGAAGAGCAAGGGGCATCCAATGCGTCCCGCCCTCCTCCTCCCCCTCTCTCTCGGGTGCCCTCGTCCGTCTCTCTCCTCTCTTCACCCTCCTCTTCTTCCTCTATGTCTTCCTCCTCCCCACCTGTCCTCCTTTCCTGTGACGTGGATAGCTGGGGAACAGGGGCGCTGGAGTCCTCCTGAGGGGTCTCCATCTCTCCCTCCGCTCCTCTCCCTCCGACCTCGTCCCCATCTCTAGAGAAGCCAGCAGACAGCCGGTCACATGACGCGTTGGGGGAGGGCTCTTCATCACAGGCTGATGCACCTTTGGGCCGCTCGCTCTTCCAGGCAGAGCGGCCACCGTTCCTCTTGTAGTTATCTGGCACATAGTGAGGCTGTAGAGAGAGAGAGAGAAAATAAATAAAGTGAGTGGAAGCAACTGGCATACTTAATTCATGACTGTTTGAATGAAACTAGTCGATTAAGTAGTTATGAGTCAACAATGGGGGAAAAAAACCCCACAGATCTTTAATCAGATTTACAAACAGTCGATAACACCACTTCCCATCCCATCTAAAACTGTCTAAAACAATTAAAAATGATGGCCTATAACAATGTATGGGTGACTCACAAAATGTTGTCAAAATTTCAAACTTAAATTGGTCATATGATGCGATTTGAATTTTTCCTTTCTCTTTGAAGTGTTACAAGCTCTTGGTGCATAAAGAAGATCTGTAAAGTTGCAAAGACTAAAGTCTCAAATCCAAAGAGATATTCTTTATAAAAGTTAAGAGTCAGCCACGCCTACCTAAAACGGCTCGTTCTAACACGCCCCCACATATCCACGTCACTATGTGGGAAGATTTGCATAACGCCGCCCAAATGTTCACGCAAAGAAAGAAGGTGTAACTTTTATCCTCGCTGTAGTTTTGTTGTTGCCGCCATGTCGTGAAGACGCTGTGTGCTTTGTTGTGAAAGCGAAACTACTTTGGTTGGTCTTCCAAAAGAGGAAAACATCTGCTTCGTCATGCCTGGAGCTGATCCGTGCTGGTTGCTGAGGAAATACTACAACTTTGCTGTGGACCGGCCTTCACCGTGGACGAAGCGGAGTCCAGCCCGGAGTCGTCACATGTCCTTCCGGACGCTCCTTCGTCGAAATCGCCGGCCGCCTTTTTCAGACCGATGAGCTTTGTAAAAATCGACGCGTTTCAGAAAGGCGGAGCATAGAGGAGAAACAATAATGTACAGTATGTGGAAAACAATGTGTGTTTTGAACCTTAAACCGCATAAACACATTTCATTACACCAAATACACAAAATAATGTTCCTTTTAGCAGCATCATATGACCCCTTTAAATAAAAAATAAACAAATAAATAAAAATATTTTTACACACTCACACACACATATACAGTAATTAGTAATATTAAAAAACAAAGTAATACTACTATTAATATCAATAAATATTACAAATAAATATATAAAAAAATTATTGTTTTTAAATCTGTAAAAATATGAATAAAATATATTCTTATTCATAAAAACATTTATGGCTGAATCTCAGAAAGATATGTCCAAAAACAAAAACAAAAAAATCTGTAATGTAATATATCAAACTTCAAATACAAAGTAATAATAGTGAGTTAATATGAATAATAATGTGTCAATAAAGTGCCATCTGAAATTTTCTTCTAAAATAAGCATTTTATCAGGCTCCCATATTTATGTTCAGCTATTTCTCTTTAATTGCATAGAAAAGGACCTATATATTGCCATTAGAGTAAATTTACTGAACCTAAACATAGGAGCCTGATACAAATGCTCATTTTAGATGAAAATGTCAGATGGCACTTATTATTTTAATAGCAAGTACAGCAAGTAAAACATGAGTAAAAAATATTGTTGTCAATAATATGTTATGGGTGAATCTCAGAAAAGAACTGTCCAGGTCAAATTTCACCCCTCAAAAAAACAAAGAGAACATATTGTGATATAATGTAACAGTTTATATTAAATATTAAAATGTGAACCACTAAAAGACCCAAAATATATTTTGTAACATATTAAATAATAAAATATATCAGATTTTAAATATATTAAAAAAAAAAAAAAAAAAAAACTTGCTACGTGTACTGCATTAAGCTAACTGAGACTTGTCATAGCACTTGCATATCATTGCTCTTTTGTTGATTTTGATTGCTTCCATTGTCCTAATTTTTAAGTCGCTTTGGATAAAAGCATCTGCTAAATGACTATATAAGGTTTTTACTATATATATAATGAATATAATTATTAATCTTGTCATACAAAAAATCTTCATGGTTCTAAAAATCCTTATTTTTTCACTTATTTATCAGTTTTGTGAGATTCCTAGCTTATACAACTACTCACTGAGAAGTCCCTCTTCGGTGTCAGTCTTTTGGGGAAGTGGTTGAACGCATAGGGCTTGGTGCACACTAAAAAAAAAAAACCTTGCTACGGGTACTGCATTAAGCTAACTGAGACTTGTCATAGCACTTGCATATCATTGCTCTTTTGTTGATTTTGATTGCTTCCATTGTCCTAATTTTTAAGTCGCTTTGGATAAAAGCATCTGCTAAATGACTAAATGTAAATGTGATGTAGCTATTACACAAAATAATATAATTATTAATCTTGTCATACAAAAAATCTTCATGGTTCTAAAAATCCTTATTTTTTCACTTATTTATCAGTTTTGTGAGATTCCTAGCTTATACAACTACTCACTGAGAAGTCCCTCTTCGGTGTCAGTCTTTTGGGGAAGTGGTTGAACGCATAGGGCTTGGTGCACACTGGGTACCGGTTGCGGTGGATCTTGTAGAACAGGTGTGCTGATTTATCCAGCCGGTAGTCGCAGATGTAAACATCCTGTTCCTTTACCCCTTTCGGACGACCTGAATCCATTAGCGAGAGCATCAGGCATTAGCATGCAAAGCGTATGGTGGTTTTCATGTTTTCAGCATGTAACATCTGGTTCAGTGCATTTCTTGGATCTCACTGTTGATTTGTTTATGTAAAACTGTTGTACGTGTGAATGTCTCACCCTTGCAGTAAGTATACAGGTCCAACACACAGCATGTTCCCACCACCGCCTCCAGAGGTATGATCTCATACAGAGGCACTCGGAACAACTCGTTATGATAGAAGCGGCGGGAAGGAGAGTGGTGCGTCTCATGGGGACGGAAGTAGTGATGACCAAAGGCAAACCTCTCACCTCTAAAGACAGAGAAAGTGAGTCGAGATCAAATCTAAGGTCCATGCGATTTAGTAAAGTAAGACATATTCCTTTCAAACAATCCCACCTCTACAACCAGAAGCTATTGACAGGAGGATAAGAAATTTGTTTAAGCCTGAGCCTAACACCGTGTCCTAACTACACACGACGCAACAAGATTCCAGCGACAAGCAATTTGGCTGTCCACACTCAAGTATAGATCTCTGCAGGAAAGTAATGGGAGTCACCAGATCGAGGCGTTTTTAGACCATGTTTCCTGATTGGCTGATGTCATAGTGACGGTAGGTTTAGGGGTGGGGTTAGGTAAGGGGGATCATTTTGATTGCATGATTGAGAAGCACCCTGCAGTTTGAAAACACCTACAAATTCAGAAACGCCCACTTTTGCTCTGCAGAGACCTCAATCTCTCCACACTAGACGTGACGCGACACTGTGACGTTACAGAATCAATCAAATATCAGTCAATCAGAAGCATGTGTGGGTGAGCTCTCAGTTGAAGCGCACTGCTCTTGCAACGAAATGGATACGTTATTAATCTAATTCATAAATATTAGGAATACACTCGTTTTAACGGTCATCTTTGCTTTAATTTATTTTCAACATCTGAGGTAAACTATCTATTGTTGCTTTCAGTTTGGCTATAAGGTAATGCAATACGATATTTAAACTCATATTAGACACGTTTAACTTTGAATAAAGCACATAAATCAATTGAGATGATCTACTCTCATGTTGTTGTTCCAGCCACGACCTTGCAGAAATAGAAACTGTTTCAAAATTAGAAATTTTGCGTATCGGCGTCGAGGCTAGTTAGAACAAAACCTCCGATTAACATGGAAAAGATACCTTTTATCGCGTGCCACGGCGTCGCGTGTAGTTAGGACAGGGTGTAACCTTTACGCTAAACATTAGGGTGATAGGAATGTTGCTCCATGGTCAACAGGAATGTCAATGCTTAATTCTGAATCAAGAGTGCAAATAACTATTTGAATACGAACGTTTGATAGCACTTTAGTTTAGGGACTAATTCTCACTTTTAACTAGTTGCTTATTAGCATGTGTAATACTAGCATACTGGCTGTTTATTAGTACTTATAAAGCACATACAAATAACCCCAAAAAGGGATAGTTCACCCAAAAATGAAAGTTCTGTCAGTAATTACTCATCCTTATGTTGTTCCAAACCTGTAAGACCTTCATTCATCTTCGGAACACAAATTAAGATATTTTTGATGAAATCCGAGAGCAAAGAAAACAAAAATAATGACTTCATTCAACAATTTCTTCTCTTCTGTGTCAGTCTTTGCCGCGCGTTCATGAGATTACCACGATGCAAGCGTGTAGCGCTGCTGACGCAGAAAATTGTTGAATAAAGTCGTTATTTTTGTTTTCTTCGTGCACAAAAAGTATTCTTGTAGCTTCATAATATTACGCTTGAACCGATGAGGTCACATTTTTTTTAACAATGTCCTTACTACCTTTCTGTGCCTTGAACGTGGTAGTTGCGTTGCTGTCTATGGGAGGGTCAGAAAGCTCTTGGAATTAATCAAAAATATCTTAATTTGTGTTCCGAAGATGAACAAAGGTATTACGGGTTTGGAACGACATGAGGGTGAGTAATTAATGACAGAATATTCATTTTTGGGTGAACTATCCCTTTAATCCTATCAATACCTTAATTTAACAACTACCTTACTAAGTATTAATAAGCAGCAAATTTGGAATTTATTGAGGCAAAAGTCGTAGTTAATAAGTGTAGTGAATCTCACTTTTCGTTTTTCCAGAGTTTCTCAATACGGAAGATGTCCAGTTTGTCTCCGTTGATATGAGACAGGAGACGGTATGACTGACGCACCGGCTGGCCTTCTGTAGTGCGTCTGCTGTCTCTCATGAGGTACACACAGTCACCTGCAACAGCCACACGCAAACATAAATAAACCTAACCACATCTGAACCAAAATATTACAATATACACTACAGCTGGAAGTTTTTAAAAATATGTTTGAAAAATGTCTCATGCTCAGCAAGACTGCATATATTTGATCAAAAACACAGTAATATTGCAAAATATTATTACAATTTTAAATAACTGTTTTCGATTTTAAAATATTTTAATATTATAATATTTAAATATGATAAATTGCCACTCATAATATCAATAGTTGTAACAGTTGTACTGCTTATTACTTTTTGGGGATTCGTTGATAAACAGAAAGCTCAAAAACAGAAATATAAATTGTAATATAAATATCTTTATTGTCTTTTTATCTATATAATGTGTCAATGCTGTATAAATATTAAAAATAAATAAATAAATAAATACTGACCTCAAACTTTTGAACAGTAGTACAGATTGTAATACAGATTACAGATACATTTGATTTCACAAACACACACATGCACTTACCCTGATGCAATAGTAAGTCATCACGAAGCAGGCATATATAATAGATGGATCCTGACTGGGCATAACTGGGTTGGGGCACCATTGGGACCTCCTTTTGAAACATGACAGGAAATGCATAAAAGATAAAAACACAAAAAAAGCTTTCAAAAGTTCCATACATCCTGAATGACAGAGTAAACCTTATCCTGGGGTGACCTTTAAAATGTTGTGATAAGAGACCATATGGCCGTGCTAAACATAGTCAGAGAGGAAGAAAGAATTGTAAAGTTACACAGACTGAAAGGTCACATACCCTGTCCACTGGACGAGGGTCACACTGCTCACAGAGATAATGCTCCACATCGGCCTCCAATCGCATACAATCACAGTGCTGCCACACCTGACAGACATAAACAGAGAGATACCTATTACCTATACTTACCCCAATTACACATGGTTTCAAATCATTACACAACATATTACATGAACAACATGAATAATGATAGAATAATGAATATTTAAATTAGTATATTAGCCTGTGGTTTTATCGTTACCTAAAACTAAAAGTATTGAAAATCTTTTTTTGGTAACTGAAATGAAGTTGAAATAAAAGAACCTATAAATATTAGATGAAAAACAAACTTGAATGGAAATGAGAAATGTTGCCTTTCAAACTGCTCTAATACAAGTTTAGGTTGAATTACTAAAATTACTAAAACTAAAAATTAAATATAAGTAAAGCTAATTCGAAATATCAAAGAAAAAATAATAAACTTTTTTAGACATGATTAACCAGTAGAAATGTGTCAACCGGTAGAGATTTTAGACTATCGTCTCTATCGTGGTTACACGCATATGTGACGTTGTGGTTGCTGTGCTACATGGTCGTGAAAACTTACCGTTTGCATGCGTTTTTAAGCATTGCATTTTACAAACAAGTGATTTTAAGCCCTTGAAATGCAATCAGCAGCAAAAAATAACTCCTTTCACTATATGTGCACGCTGTCTGAGAAACTGTTCCCGAGCGCTGTCAGAGAGGTGCGCGCACATGAATGCAGTGCTCATAGAGCACAGGTGTATTGAACGAGTTATTTTTGCCGCTTTACAGGCCTTGAACGGTTAAATACACACACTTGTATATGACAAAATTCCCATCTTCGCAAGTATAAGTAAACACAGTAGGTCTTAAGTGAAGGCAAACAGCTGCGAAAGAAAACAAGTAAAACTATATTGGAGCCGAGCAGCTCTTAAAGTGACAGCAGTCTAATATTCCTGCTGTCTGTCATTCATGTTAATCAAACAACAAAAGAGAGAAAATCTCTCACTGCTCTGTCTTGAATAATCACTTTTGTAACTTTAATAAAAAAAGAGATATATTTAATTTACACAGTGACGAATATGCAGTGTTTTTTAAACATCTGATTACTTTATACAATATGTAGCATTTCTCAATAATTTGTTCCACTGTAATTTTTTTGTCCTATTGCTTGTAATTAGTTCCTTATTATTAATTACTGACTGCTTACTTGTCTTCGGTGAGCTTGAGTTTTTGTTTTTATTTAGGCTGGTATTAGTTTTTTGTGATACTGACACTGATGACAAAAAGTATGACATTTCTATGGTATCAAAAATGTCGATATCATAAAAACCTTATAAAAGCAAAAATATCTATATCATGATATATTTTGTTACCGTGAAATAAAAATACTCATATCGAGATATAAGAATTTAGTCATATTGCAATGTAGCTGGTATGGTGTTCTAGATGGTTGCTTTTTATGACAAGTCAAAAGACTGTATTTCCAAGCCTCTTTAATATTCAGGTCCCTAGATATGAAATCTGATCACTCCTTGCCAATTTTACAGTCTATCAGGCGAAAATCTCTAATCACTTTTGTAACTTTAATAAAAAAAGAGATATATTTAATTTACACAGTGACGAATATGCAGTGTTTTTTAAACATCTGATTACTTTATACAATATGTAGCATTTCTCAATAATTTGTTCCACTGTAATTTTTTTGTCCCATTGCTTGTAATTAGTTCCTTATTATTAATTACTGACTGTTTACTTGTCTTCGGTGAGCTTGAGTTTTTGTTTTTATTTAGGCTGGTATTAGTTTTTTGTGATACTGACACTGATGACAAAAAGTATGACATTTCTATGGTATCAAAAATGTAGATATCATAAAAACCTTATTAAAAGCAAAAATATCTATATCATGATATATATTGTTACCGTGAAATAAAAATACTCATATCGAGATATAAGAATTTAGTCATATTGCAATGCAGCTGGTATGGTGTTCTAGATGGTTGCTTTTTATGACAAGTCAAAAGACTGTATTTCCAAGCCTCTTTAATATTCAGGTCCCTAGATATGAAATCTGATCACTCCTTGCCAATTTTACAGTCTATCAGGCGAAAATCTTTAGTTTGGTCACTTTGAAAAGTAATGCCACAGAGCTCTCCTCAACAGAACTGTTAACTGATGCTTGCGCCCCCCTTGACAGGTGCGCCCCACAGGTTGAAAACCCCTGGTCTAGACAACCGACTGTCTCACAAACTACAAATGCATGTCAAAATCAATGTCTACACCATGATTATGACCTTTGCTTCTTGCTTTGCATAATAAAAATTATTATGCAGTCATTAAAGTGACTGCCAACAATAAGATCAATAGCAAAAACTGAAGTTTTTTTTTTTTTTAAAAGTATGATGGTTTGTGTGAATGAATTAGTGTCTGTTTACCTTTGTAGCTTGTGATCATGTCACATATCTCCTTGAAGATGTGTGCCAGGCGTGCAGTGCGTGTAACTTCCTTGTTCTCCTCACCTTTCCCAAATCTACGTCCCGTTTCTTCAGTGAGTGTTTGGACTTGCGTTTCTCTTTCAGTCTCCCCAGCCTCCGGGCTCCGCCCCCTGATCCACCCCCTTTCCCAGGCAGCCCATTGATTCGCTGGCTCTTGCCGCCAATGATGCCACGGCAACACTCTGAGCCACACTTGCAGACTTGCTGCATAGCAACAAGAGCAGAGAAACATTATCATTTGGCAAGCAAGAGGAAAATGTTAAACATCTACTACAGGTCCAATCCACCAGTATATCAAAAACCTGATGTTAACCGATGTAAACTATCAGTGGTAATCAACCTTGTTAATGTGAAATATTATAATAAATAAATAAAAATAAAAGCTTACAAAAAAAAATAAAAAATTCTCAAGTCTTCTAAACTCTGTGGCTGAAGTTATTAAGCAGCTATGAGTGATTGAATCAACACCACCAATCCGGATGAATGAAGTACAAGCATCCGCTACAAAACACAGCTGCATACATGCACACTGTGCATGTGTATGTACAGAAAAATAAAAATAAAAATTAATTCCTGAAAAGGTTTATACATAGCATTTGAGCTTCACATTAAATTGGAATTAAAGGGATAGTTCACCCAAAAATGAAAATTTGATGTTTATCTGCTTACCCCCAGGGCATCCAAGATGTAGGTGACTTTGTTTCTTCAGTAGAACACAAACGAAGGTTTTTAACTCAAAATTGTTGCAGTCTGTCAGTCATATAATGTAAGTGAACAGGAATCACGGCTTTGTCAAAAAAACATACACAAACAAAACCAAATTAAACCCTGCGGCTCGTGACGATACATTGATGTGTAAAGACACGAAACGATCGGTCTGAGCAAGAAACTGAACAGTATTTATATCGTTTTTTTTACCCCTGATTCACGCAATGTCTGAACTGTCCTGAGCG